GAAACCTCCCTTTGGGGGCCCCCGAGCAAGGATCTCAGCCCAGGCCCCAAACCAGAGCTGTTGATTTATAGGTCCAGATGTGGGTATTTCGTACATCGATATAGTTTATATGCCATGAAATTCACCCACATGAAACGTACATTCAGGGCATTTTTATTGCTTTTGGGCTCGCTCGTGGCTTGGGCAGTGGGAGGGCTCTCAGGAGTGTCCCCCGGCGCTGCAGGGGCGACCAAGCTCACACAGGAGGGCCCAAGAAGTTTTCTGAAGAATGAGCTGAACAGTAACCTTGCTGACCCTGGGTCTGGAGATGACTTCACAGGGCTGTGGCTTGGCCTGGGTTGTGACAGTGGTGTGAGGACAGGGAGGGAGCCAGGCTCTGACCCAGATGGGTGTCGTCTGGCTGCAGGTGGTTCTGCAGGACAGGAGCCACCTTTCCTGCTGGCAAAGGGACACCCAGTCCACACGTCCTGTCTCCCAGAGGGGATCTAGGAGGGGAGTAGGAGAGGCAGAGAGTGTTGACAGGACCCAGCATGACCCCCTGCATGGCCTGGAGCCAGGCACAGAGGGGACACTTGCCAGAGTGTTAAAGTACTGTCCATGAGACAGCCAGGGAGGCAGACACAGGCAGAGCCAGGCATAGTGGCACTGGCCTATAATGCCAGCACCGAGGAAGGCTGAGGAAGGAAGATCATGAGTTCAAGCCAACCTGAGCAACTTAGCAAGACTCTAGCTCATAAACAGATAAGTAATTAAGTAAATACATAAATACAAAAAGTAGGGACGTAAGCTTGGTGTGAAGGCCCTGGGCTCAGTCTTCAAAAACAACAAGGAAACTGGAGAAGAGAAGCTCCCGTGGGCCTCTCTTTGTGCTTTATGGCTTCCTCTGCCCCAGGTGGACTGATGAGGCTGTAGCTGGTGTGGTCCAATTTAGTGTCTAGCATGGCCTGCGGGGTTCCCAGGGCCTGCCTTCTAGCAGGATCTTGACTTGCCTGTGTCTGGCCTGTAAATTTCCTCCTGTCAATCACAGGCTGATCCTTACTGTGATTGGTGGACTCCCTGTGGGCGTGACAGCCAGCCCTCACCCTTTGCTTACCATGGGTGACTCATTATCTGGTCTTATATCCAGTCCTCAGTGGCTGTGGTGGACACTGGTTCCCCCACAGGCTGGTTGCCAACCATGGCTGTCACGGAAGGCTCTGGGATGAACCGGGCTCAACCTCAGTTTTTTCCCTTCAGTTTGGAGCTGGTGGCTCAGCCCAACAGATACCATCTGTGGGACATGAACTGAAAACAACAGACCCACTGGCTGGTTGCAGTAGGACAAGAATTTGTTGAAAGAGGTTCCATGGTTCCCCCTCTGTGGGAGGTCAGGCTCCAGCTGTGCAGATGGGAAAGCCACATTGGGGGCTGCTTTGGCCATGCATCACCGCCACTGTGTCAACCCAAGAAGTTGGGCCTGGATGTTGAGGGTGGGGCCACTGTTGCCTGGAGGAACCAGAAGCCTTGGGCTTGGGGTTTCTCAGAAGCTGGGGTTTCTCTGGCACAGCTGCCACATTGCATAGGTCCATTTGACATCTGCTATGCGTGGACGGTCAGCCGGGGTCAGTGTTGCTCTCCTGCATGGGGGAGTCTGGTCATTCAAGTTTCTGCAACTGGCCTAGGAGGGTAGGATCCGTTCTGCAGTCAGAGGGCCCAAGGGGACAAACACCTGTGTACAAGTCCTCACGGTGCCCCTCCTCAGGCACTGTTCACATTTGGGAACTTAAGGGTGAGAGAGGGGAAGTGACTTGTCTAGGATTGCAGGGGCCCAAACTCCAGAATGTTCACCAGCCTTCAGGACAGGACAGCAAATGGCCCAGCCCTCCTCATTCTTGGATCCCTGGAGGCCCCAGTGCTGGCCTAGGCCCATTCCCGAATGGACCTGTCCCTTGTGACAAAGATGGTCACAGACAAGGCCCCAGTGTCCTTTCTCATTTCATCCTCAGACTGAAGCAGGAACATTCTGTTCCTTCACAATGCCTAGAACGTATGAAATTCATCCGTCAGAGGATCATGTAAAATTCACGCTCGGAGGATTTGGCTTCTGCTTCCAGCATCCAGTTGCATGACCTTGGCCCAGCTCACTCTCGTAGCCTCTGTTTCCTCATCTGTAAAACCACCCCGACTTTGTTCCCTCCAAGTTGTGCGTGTATAGAATAAAAGAATCAGTGATACACATGACAATTCTCTCTGTTCACTGTATGCCACACCAGCAATTTCCTAGCAAGGTCCCCCCGGGATACAGGACTAGGGAGTGTGTGTGGCGTGTTGTCAGCTGCTTCTGCTCAGATTCACAAAGCGGCACAAGCCGGGCTACAGGTGTTTTCAATTGGTGTTGTCGGTTTAGGCTCGAATTAGTGTTTGTTTCTTGGACTTCAGCAGGGGCCACACCCCTGTGGGCCATTAATAGACACTATTTGGGACCAGTGCCCACAGGCCGCCTGTCTCAGCCTGGCAGAGGCAGCAGGCGTTGTTCTGTTGTTCTGGGGTGACCCGCGGCTGAGTTCTGATGTTGCTTTGCTCCTTGAGGGCAGGAATCCAGGCCTCTGCTGTCCCTGAGCCCAGCAGAGCAGGAGCTGCTTTGTGCCTTGGAGGCCACATGCCTACGGGAGCCCTGGAAGGGACTTCGGTCAGTGTTCAAGGCGTGCAGCATATATTAAACACCAAGAGGGTGACATTCACGACCCCGCTTCAGGTCTTACAGTCTCTAGGAGATGAAAAAGAAGCAATGAGCTTGGTTAAGAGTTAAGGGCAGAAAATCTGGGTTCCTATACCCCTCTCCTCTCTGGTACCTTTGCTAACAGGGATCTGATTCTTTTTGAGTTTTAATGTACCCAGCACAAGATCATTTCTGTTTATAGTTCTCAAAATGTGGTCCTTGGGCCAGCAACACCAGCCCTGGCCAGGCTCCTGCCCAGCAGTCTTGGCTCTAACAGACCTCTAGGTACAGATCCTATATGTGACCACACGGAGGGTCTTGCCCTGAGGTGTGGGGAGATCTTTGGAGGAGTCATTTTCTTCCTGTTCAAAAGGGCAGGAGGCACATGGCCCCGGGTGCATCAGAGACAGTCAGTGTAAAGCTGGGAGGGGGATTGTCACCATCCCTAGTTAGCTGAACATGGCCCTGCAGAAAAGAGCCTGAATTACAAACCAGCTGTCAGACTTCTCATTAACAGAACAGTCAGGTTGTCACAAGCACATCCCCCGCAGATCTGGGTTGGTGAGGCTGGAACCGACCTAAGTAGTACCCGAACCCATCCCGTGCCTTTTACGCTGTCACATGCATGCTTTTATTGGTTTGTACCTTTTCAACATCTGTAGCTTAAAAACTTCTGAACCAGCACACACCCACTAGCATGGCTGCTATATTAAAAATAAACCAAAACCAAAAGCCCCTAAAGGTAGCAAATGTTGATGTGGATGTGGAGAGACTGGAACCCTTGTGCACTGTCAGTGAGAGTGTAAAATAGCACGTGGAAAGCAGTGCGGTGTTTCCTTGAAACAGGAGACACAGACATACGGGGCATGGCGCAGTGTTACGGTATCGGTCTAGAATTTCTGCATCAGCCTGTGTGTTCAGCGTGAGGCTTTCGGATTGTGGGGCCTCTGTGGCTGACTTGCTGTTAGGAGCGGGATCTGGGTGGGAGGCAGGCCTCTGGGGGTGCAGTGTGGGGCGTCTGGCTCCCTCCCTGGCTCCTCAGCTGGCTCCCTGTCTCTGCCTGCGCTGGCGGGAGCTGGTCTCCTTCCCCCACGCTGTTTCTGTGTTTGAGCCTCCCAACCCTGGACTGAAGCTGTGAGCCAAAGTGAACCTCTCCTCTCTTAAACCCAGGGATGAGAGTGTGACCGAGCCTTCTGGCAGCTCCACTTCTGGGCAGAGACCCCACAGGGACTGAAGTTGGAAAGCAAGCTCTCCTGGAGGCGGTGTGCACCCGGGTTGGTTAGCAGCGTTATTGATAGTAGCTGAAAGATGGAGACAGCTCAAGGGCCAAGATGGGCGCTGGAGATGATATATTTTATGCTGTGTGTGTTTATAACTACAAGTGACACACACACACACACACACACACACACACACATACATGTGCACCCCTCTTGGTCTGCAGGCCTGGTCCTCACACTGCAGGTTCCCCTGTCTCCTCTGAGACGGGTCCTGTACCCCACAGGCTGCCGCCGTCTCTGCCTGGTGCCCTAAGATCAGCTCAAGTTCCGTACCTGATTCTGAGCTGGTGACCTCTGTCTCCCCAACTCCTGCTCCTCCTGCTGTGTTTGTCTGGGTGTGACTGACACAGGTACCCACCACAACTCAGAAACGCTTCCTCTCTTGTTCCCTGGATGAGCTGTTACAAATTCCCGGTGATTGCTCTTCCCAAATTCCTACCGCAGGCAGTTGCTGTGCCGGTCTCCTGTGGCATCCTCCCTGACCACTGCTGTGCCTGGCGCAGCTCCCTGGGCACACCCTGGCACCACCCGAGTCCGTGCTCTGTGTGGGAGCCAGGGAAAATACCCGGCTGCAGATCTGATTGATTCTGTTCTAGTCTCACCCTAAGTAATCGATCCCATATGGAAATATTCCATGAAAGCATCCAGCTCCTTCCTGCATAAAAGGCAGAACAGGCTGCTTGGAAGTTGATTTCATATCGTTATAAGAGCCAAGCTGCTTCCTGGTCTTTTTGGGCTGAGTTTCTCACATTTGGGGTCTGGTGCTACAGGTGAGACAAATGTCACCGGTGGCTGGTTCCTTGTTTGGGGCTGTCCCAGGTGCAGAGCCAGACACCAGAATCAAGAGCAGGTGCTGATCTGGAGGTGACCTCAGGAAGCTCTGCCAGGGCATCAGAAAGTGAGGGGGAAGGCAGGATGCCAGTGAAGGGCATGGGTTCAGCCCACTGGGACAGAGGGCATCTGGAGAGAGCAGGGAGGCGGAGCCAGTCACATGACAGAGGGATCTCAGGGTGGAGGGAGACGGCACTGGCACCCCAGCTCCTGTGAGCCGTCCTCTGGGGGCCAGAGTGCTCAGCAGAGAGCAGGGATAACTGCCCCGGCTGGTTCTGCTGAGCTGCCAAGCGGGTCCAGCTGCCCCTCCATGGCTACATGCAGCTGTGGGGTTCGCTTTCTCCCCAATTCCAAGGTGGACCAGAGTCCAGCCTGCTCTGGTGCCAGTGCCTGGTGCCCATCACCAGGTGACAAAGCTGCCGGAGTCTCAGGGCTGGGAGAGGGGAATATTGGAGACCTGGCCAGGCTCAGTCCTGGTCTCTGGGAAGGGCACAGAGGTGAGGGGGATGGGGCAAGGGGACAGTTACCCAGCCCCTTGGTCTTCTTGGCAGGGGAGTGAGGACCAACGGGTTTCCCTGGCCAGATACCTGCGGTGCGGTGCAGGCCCTCTGCCCTGCCAGGAGGGAGGTGGGCACCTGGGACTCCAGGCCCTAGGGCTCCAGGTTTGGTTTGCACACGCATGAGTGTGTGTGTACATGTGTGCACGTGTGTGCATGTGTGTGCGGGCTGAGGCAGTGCAGATGGAAGCAGAAAGTGCACAGGTGAGGGCTGAGGAGGTGGACACATCCAGCCTGGAATGTTTGCCTGGAGGTTTTTGTTGTGAACTAGAGGAAGCAGGTGGGCTAGGACAGGTGCTGTGCTCTGGTCTGACTTTGTCAATTGAATGCAGTGGCCTGGGTTCCTGGAATGTACTAGGTGGGAGCACGTGCTTTTATTTGACAAACACACTGCTTGCTAAGCAGAGGTGCTGCATTGGTTAATTCACAAAACTAAACGACTAACATCCACAGAAAAACGCAGCCCCGCAGGCCTCCTCACCCCTCCCTGGCTGATGCTGGCTGAGGTCCCACCTGGGGAACGCAATGTCTGGCCCCAGAGCCGGGCCCCTCCCTTGTGGCTGATGCTCACCGTCATCATGCTCACAAAAAGGCCTGAGTCCGTTATGCCTGCCACCCACTTACAGATGGAAACACTAAGGTGCCCAGGGATTAGCAATCTGCACAGCTTGAAAGTGGCTGAGTGGGGACCGAGCCCAGGCTTTGAGCTGAAGTCATTTTGCTACAGACCCAGGGTAATGACCTCTTTGAAGAAAGGTACGTCTCTCTCCTGGGCCATGCCTCAGTTTCCTCACTTGCTAAGTGGGGCTGTTGTGGCCTGTGCTTGTTACTTTTCTCTAGGTGCTGATACTAAATACCAAACACCCCAAATTAAGGAAGGTTTCGTTCACAGTGTGTGGAGGTTTCAGTCCATCTCAGCTGGCTCCAAGGCAGGGTGGCCTGGCACAGGGGCAACGGTTCAAGGTGGCAGAGGACAGCAAAAGCGGCAAGAGCAAAATGGTGAGGGTGACGGCTAAGTATTTTTCCTCCCTTATGGTGTAAGCAGGCTCCCCGCACCCTGTGGGTGTAATACTCAGACCTTCTCCCTGCCCTCCTCTTGCACAGGCTGAGATGTTTGCAAAGTGAGGACCTTGGGCCCCTGCTGAGTCTTAAATTTCTAAATCTCTCAAGCTGGCACAGTGTAATGCTCCTGCCCTGCTGACTGGCAAGGAGTGGGGAGAGAATGGGATCAGGACCCAACCTCTGAAATCTCCACCTGGGGAGTGCCCTGGCCTGGCGGAGGCTGGCATGGCTGGCTCTGTCCCCAAGGCTGCCTCTCATGGCCCGCGGCTCACTCACTCGGGGCCAGGCTGCTCTGGGATGAGGTGCTCAGCCCATTAGGCTCTCATCCTGCCTGCCTGGCTTTGTCCCGCTGGACTGTGGAGCTGTGGCTGGGGACTGTCCAGGAGCTGCATCTCTGAGGACACAGACCTGGAAACCCAATACTCCTGGGCAAGGGCGGCACCCAGGTCCACTGGGCTCTACTGCTACTGAGGTTCTTGGGACAGCGAATCACAGAAGGGTCAGTGTGCTGCATAGACACAAGTACAAGGCCACCAGACTTGTAGCAACTGGTCCTCTAGGGACACAGGACCAGGAGCCCCCTTCTCAGGGAGACACTCTTGGGTGGGCCAGCTCTACCATGTTCCTAGTCCTCAGCAGAGTACCTCACTCATTCATTCATCAGCTCTTCAGAAGGAACTAAAGGCTCTTACATGTAAACATCTGGCTGAAAAATGTTCCAGACAAGGGGGTAACAACATGTGCAAAGGTCCTGTTGTAGTGGGGGTAACCAGGAAGTCCGTGCAGGGAGCCAGAAGAAGAGTAGCCAGGGTTGAGATTATATAGAAGGTTATAGACTACACACAGAAATATAGGCATATTCTGAGAGATGAGGTGGGCTTTATATGATTTTGATTTGATATTTTTAAAGAATTCCTCTGGTTGCTGGGCATGCTGAGGTACACCTATAATCCCAGCACCCAGGAGGCTGAGGCAGGAGGATCACTGTGAGTTTGAGGCCAGCCTGGGCTACATATGTGAGTTCAAGGACAGCCTGAATTACAGAGGGAGAAAAAACCAACAAACCAACAAACAAACAATAAAAGGAATTCCTTTGGCCGACAAAGGATGGACTGTCCAGGGAGGCCAGGGAGGAGGCAACTGCCACTGTCCAGCATGAGATGATGGATTCTTGAGTCACCATATGCACAGCAGAAGAGAGAGAGGCAACTGTGTTGTGGCCTTTATGTAGCAGCTGAGGGATAGATGTGGGGGAACAGGGTGAGGAGAAGCCTCAGGGCAGGTGCCGAGACCTGTGCTCCTCCCTGGGGTGCCCATGCTCCTCCCTGGGGTGCAGTGTCTTTTGCTATGGGACTGACAGGCTAGGCTGGGAGCCCTGGGGCACCAGTGACGTCCTGCACCCTGTGAGGCGACACATTCTTGGTGCCTGGGGCCTCTAACCATCTGGAGAAAGGTCTTGAAACCCTAACCTGTGATTTAAAACCCAAACACACATCCTTCCTGCTGCACCCCAGCTCTGCATTTGCCTGGGGCCGAGTGAGCTTTCTCTTAAAGACCCACCTGGATTTTATTCTGGGGCAAGGATGGGCGTCCCCCACCATTAAAGGATAAATGGATGTAGAGGGCCCCGGGCCCAGGAGCAGCTTGACGGGCTGCCACCTGTCCAGACGAGCCTGGCAGAGAGCCCCACGTCTGCTAAAGAGAGTCAGGAGGGAGATCAGTTGCAGGAAGGAAATTACTGAGTCTTCAAACCCTGTCAACTGGGAGAAAAAGGGACGGACTTTTATGGACACGTAGTTTGTCCCCAGGAGACAGAACATCTTCAAACCTGTCTTCACCAGCATCGAGGTACTGTGGTGTTGTCTAACAGAGCAGTTTATAGCTGAGTGATGAATCTCTTAAAAACAACAATAAAAACGAAACTGATTTTCACCTACCTCGCTCCACTTTCTAAAATAACTGCAAAGCAAACAAACAAACAACCCAACCACATTCATGATAACAAGGAAATTTGCAAAGCACCTCTCAGCACAGAGTCCTGGATTCGGGGACAGAGCAGCAAGTATGACCCTGTGGCTGCTGGGGACCTGCACGGGGCACCGGGCTGTAGCAGATCAGCGAGGAGAAAGCCCCGGACACAGAGAGTGCGGTTGCTGGTGCTGTGGGTTGAGGTCGGCTGGTGGGAGAGATTGTGTGTGGGGGTTTGCTGCTTTAGGCTGCTGGGACCTGGACACTCGTGAATCCGGGTCTAGGTGAAGCAGCGTGTGAGGGTCAGCAGCTCATCACCAGCCCTCCTGCTCTGCCGTCAGCTGTTAGGGTTTTATTTCCTCTTGGTCACAACGTGGCTGCCGCCAGTGACAGAAACCACACATCTCTTGGCCTTAAGAGACAAAATTCTTCTTTCTGTGATTTCTCTTTAACACAACGGGCCATCATTGGCCATTCGGCCACTCCTGGACCACTGAGAGCCCCAGGGGCTGTGGAGTGCTAATATTGTTGGCTCCCCAGGGTGACCCAGAGCTGAGGACCATGTTGCTGTCCCCTGGCCAAGGGGCAGTGTGGGCACAGGGAGAAGCCAGAATCAAGTTAGGGTGCTGTTGTGCAGCTGTTGGGGAGGGATGGAGCAGGCAGCCTCCCCCGCAGGGATTATCCATCCCTCTCTTGTCCTCTGAGAACAGCGGGGCTTGTGGGCCCCCAGCTTGGGGCCTCCACTCCTCCCTCCAGGGGCAGGGAGCATCTCATGTGCTGCAAGATGGTGGTTTTGTCCCTAACTTCTGCTCCAGATTGACTTGGTCTTACCATCAGAGAAATGGGGCAAATGGCCAACCAGGAATGGGTGCGTTCCCAGGACGGGGAGGGCCGCTTTGATAAAAATCAAATCAGATTGTGTGGGGGCAGCTGATCTCGAAGCTTAATGAGCCAGTGGGAAAATGCAGTTCAGCTGCAGCCAGACTGGTGGAAAGACCCGGGAAAGAACCACTGCGTCTAGACCAGCACAGGAGCCGCTGAAGGCTCAAAAAGCGGAGGGGTTGCCTGAAAAACTGAGTTTTAAATTTTGTTTAATTTCAATTAATGTAAGTGACTATTTCAGGTATGTGATTTTTTTTAGATATATGATTTAGTTATTAGAAAACAAATTTGCTTACAGTCAGCTATTGATGTGAATCTAGTTTTTCGACTGTCAATTTTCTGAAATCCAAGTACAGACCGAATATCTCTGATACACGTGGGGTTGCAGGTATAAAACTTCAAATCAAAATTTGAATACAGCATGAAAAAATGCGAACAATATTAACTTTTCTATTTATTGTATGTTGAAGCAACAGTTCAGGTATGTTTTGGGTTAAGTAAAACACATCATTAATCTTGCCTGTTTCTTTTTATTTTCTTTCCCCTCATGTTTCTCTGAAAAAAATGTAAGATCACATACGTGGATTGAATTTTCTCTGTTGGGCAGCGCTGGTCAAATCGATTCTGCATTCAGATTGCAAACATCTACACCTTCCCTTCCCTTTCAAGAAACCAAAACTTCCCATGATATGAAAGGAAGGTGGCAAAGACGGAGCCCCAAATCAGACCATGTGACAGAGACGACGTGCTGGCCTGACCCGACAGGACCAGACAATGGGCAGTTCTGTGTTTATGATTAAACTATATGAAGATGATTTGACAGTGTCTAGGCCCCAGCTGAGCCAATGCAGCCTGTGAAAGGCCCTGCTGGTCAGCTGTGCTGGGACAGGCCCAGCTCTGAGGGCAGGTGCACTGGTCAGGCAGGAGAGTCCACTCAGGACTCGCCCTGCGTCCGTGCTCACAGTGGCCTCTGGGGCAGGAAGGAGCTAATCTGTTCTCAGGTCTAGGAGAGAACTGTAGTGTTTCAGAGCCTGGGCAGCGAGGATCCAGCTGAAGGGCGTCTTCTCTCAGCGGGCACGGGGCATGCTTGGGATTGTCCCTGGAGCAGAAGTGGCCGGGGGTAGGGGGGCGGGTCTGGGTGTCCTGTCCTCTTTAGTGTTCTGGGCCTCAGTGGTTCTGGGTCTGAGCTGCTGGGCCTGTTTTGTCCCTTGCAGAGACCTGGCCAAGCCCGGAGCACAGGCCCCAGGGAGCCCAGCATCCTGCCCTGTGGCAGGACAATGCTGTGCTCTAACACAGCGCTCCGGCCCACCTTCCTGTCCTTCCCAATCCCCCTTCCCCATTCCTTTCCCCCGGCCAGTCCAGGAGCCAAACCTCGTCCCTGGACCGAACCTCAGGGTCTGCTTTGAGGTGTCTGACCCAACGCAGGTGCATGGGGCCTGTGGCAGTCCCCTGGCACCCTGAGCTCCCCTGCACGGTTCCCAAACACTGGGGTGCTGAGGATGCGCCCTGACTCCGGCCAGTGGGAAGTCTCAGGCCACCCTCTGACTGACGCCTTTGCGGGTGGACCCCGCTCAGCATTTCCTCTGCCTGGGGCGCTGCCAGCATGGTTTGTGTAATCCTGATGATGCCTGTCCCTGATGTCTCCCATGTCCTGCAGGAGGGGGGACATCCCAGTCCCCCTCTTCTGTGCTCCTCCAATCTGCAGGGGCCCTGGTGGAGAAGCATACATCAAGGGAGGAAGGCACTATGCTGTCTGGAGGTGGTGACCCTGGCAGGCGGGAGCCTCCTGGTCCCTGGGACGCCCTCTGGGAGGGAGGAGAGTCTTCTTCCAGGTGTCCCCCTCTCATGCTGGGTTGCTTGGGGGCAGCCTGGGTGTTTCTGAGCTCCACTCAGAACAACTGGGTTCCGACACCTTTCTTATGACCTTCAGCTGAAATTCTGAGATGTCTGGTTGCCCTGGACACTGAACAGCTCAGGACAGTGGCACCTTTTCCTGGAAAAAGGTGTCCGGAGCAGTGCGACAGTATATGACCACATGGGTCAGTGGTCAGTGGTGGGCCCTGATAACCCAGATTAAGCCAGTTCCAGTGTGCTCAGCACTGCAGACTCCAGAGCACGGCGAATGTGGGGTCACAGATGAATTCGAGCGAGGCAGGAGGCAGCCCAAGGGTCAAGGCTTGTAGCTTAAGAGGTGAGATTTAACCTGTAATTGGCAGCTTTGCTTCTGATCGCTGGGTTATAGAGAGACAAGCTGCCAAATGCAGATGATTCTTGGTCGAAGAGCAGAAAGAGATGCAGGAGAAAGGTGCCCGCCTACGGATTCCCCGCACAGCTGTGCGCTAATCTTGGGATGAAGCCCCGTCTTTTCTGAGTGCTTCCTCCTCTGGGCTTCCTCTCGGATCCGAGACCAGGAGGAAACATATGCTGGCGCTCAGCTATGGCGAATGCACCCCGCCCTGTGAAATCTCTCCTTGCCCTTCTCCGCCTCTTCCTGGCCATTTATTTTTTCCCTCTCAGGGCACTGGACGCTTCATTCCCCGAACGCTGGAAGGCAGGCTGTAAATTCTGCTGATTGCTGGTGACAATAAAGGCAGCTCCCTGCCCTGCACTTCTGCATCTCTGGGATGCAGGTGATCAGCTGCAGCCACACGGGGATCCGAGGGGACGGCAAGGGATCGTCCAGCTGGAGGTGGGCAGACAGAGCAGAGACGCAGGGGTAGAGGCAGGAGGCATCGCCAGGAGCCGGGCCTCCACATGCTGGCACGCAGGCCCCTCGCTGGCCAATTTATTCAGTGAACGTGATCGAGGACTCCGTCCTGGGCACCAGGCATGCTGGGAAGCCAGGTCCCTGGACACACGGAGCCCACATCCAGGAGCAGGGACAGGGAACGACGGGTAGGTGGTGAGTGTCAGCCCACCCTAAGTGGCGTGAGACGCAGTGTGCTGATGCGACAGCGCGGGCCCAGGGCTCAGCAGAGGACGCTCGGTCTGAGATGTGAAGGCAGAGAAGGAACCTACCAAGGAAAAGCTGGGGAAGAAACACTCCTACTCAGCACAGCATAGGGAGTCCCCGGCAGACCAATGGGAAAAGAGAAAAGGAAAGGCATCCGCACTGGAACGAGCAAGTGAACTAATCTTTATTCTCAGATGACACAATCCTATGCATAGAAAATTCTAAAGATTCTCCTTTAAAAAAATGAGAATTAATAAATGAATTTGGCAAAATTGCAAAATACAAAATCAACTTTCAAGAATCTAGCTGCATTTCTGTTACTAACAATGACAGTTTGAAATGGAAATTAAGAAACTAGTTCTATACTTTGAGAGGCTGAGACAGGAGGATCACACATTGGAACCCAGCCTGGGCGACCTAGCAGGGCTCCATCTTACAATACAAAATAGGGCTGGAGATGGTGACGTGGCTCAGTGCGGAGGTGCTGGGTTCAGTCCCCAGCACCAGGGCGGGGCAGAGGGTCCCACTGGCAGTCACTTGTGTTAGACAGCTTTTTCTCACTGTGACAAAATACCCACAGACCAGCATAGAGAAAGGGTGTATCTTGGCTCATGGCTCTAGAGGCTTCAGTTCATGATTTGCTGGCTCCATTTGAGACCAAGAGGAGGCAGAACATCACGGTAGCCAGGAATCCCAGACCCAGGCAGAGAGAAGAGTGGGGACACGGTGTAGTCTTCAAGAGCCACCCCACTGACCTGCCTTCTCCACCCCCAGAACTCCCACTGCCTCCCACAATGCCATCAGCTCTAACCCTCGAGTGCATAGCGTTAGGGGGTCATTTCATGTGCAAACCATAACAACACGAGAAAGAATAAAATACCGAGGCATTCGTGTAACCAAGGAGGAGAACGAGTTATACCCTGAAAACTAAAGATGTTGCTGAAAGAAATTAAACTCAAACACAAAGACAGGCTGTGGCTTTTTTCGTGAATCAGAGGACTTCATGTTGAGACATCTGTCCTAACCAAAAAGACCTGAGCATTCAGTGCAATTTCCATTAAAATCTCATCACTGTTTTTTGGTGCCAAAATAGAAAAATTTATCCTAAAGTTCATATGGAATTCAAGAAGCCCAAATAGTCAAAACTATTTTAAAAAAAGTTGCGGTCTCATGCTTCCTGATTTCAGACTTACTGTAAATCTACAGTAATGAAACTAATGTGTCGTCGCCCAAAGACAGATGGAAAGGGGACAGAATAGGGAAGCCAGAGTTACCCCCTTGTCAGCTGATTTTGGATAAAGATGACAAAACCACTTTATGAGAAGCGAGAGTCTAAACAGTGCTGGGGAACCTGGATATTCAATGCACAGGCATGACTTGAAATGGATTACAGTTCTAAACGTAAACCTAAGCTGTAAAACTCCTACAAGAAAACAAGGAAAAGCTTCTCCACATTGGACGTGCAATGATTTCTCAAATGTGACACAGCACAGGCCACAGGAGAAATCAATGCATTGGACTACATCAAAGTTATAAACTTCTGTGCATCAAAGATCACATAAAAAAGATCACAGTAAACAGTGGGAAGGTGAGCTACAGAAGGGGGAAATCCTGGAAATCAAGCATCTGATATGGCGTTAACATCCACAATATATAAAGAACTCCTACAATTCAATGACAAAATATCAGACACCAGATTGAACAGGCTTTTCTCTGAAGAAGATATAAAAGGGTCAGTAAACACAGGGAAAGTACGCCATCACTAATGGCCAGGGAAATGCCACAGGACCCCACCTCACATTCATTAGGGTCATAACTATCAAGAGAACCGAAAGTAACACATGTTGGCAAAAGGGATGCCCATGCACGGTTGCTGAGACAGTCAGGTACTATGGAAAATTGTAGGGCTGTCCCTAAAAATGAAGACCAGATTTACCACATGATCCAGCAATTCCACTTCTGGGTAGATACCTAAGATAATTCACATCAGGGTTTCCCAGAGATATCTCTACACTCATGATCATAGCGGCATTATGGACATTAGCTAAAATGTGTAAGAGACACAAGTGTCCACTGACTGATGGGTGGACAAACATGACGTGATGTGTACCCAGGGTGGAATACTACTCAGTCTTGAAAAGGATGGAAATCCTAGCACATCCCACAGCTTAAGATCACAAAAGGACACGTACTACGATTCCATTTACACAGGATACCTAGAATAGTCAAACTCATTTACAGAGGAAGTTGCATGGTGATTTCTGGGGATCAAGAGAAGAAGGATTTGAGAGTTCTTATTTAATAGGTATAGACTTTTAGTTTTGCAAGGTGAAAAGGTTTCTGTGGATACACAAGTGGTGATGGTGGCAGAACAGGGTGAAGGTACTCAGTATCACTAAACCGTGCCCTTAGGAATGGCTAAATGGGAAATTTAAATTGCATTCATTTTTATCATGGTTGAAAAGACTATCCAGGCTTAGGATAATTAGGCCAGACAAGTGCAAAGGTCCTGTGGTAGGGAAGCTGGGAGCCCCAGAAAGGGGCA